AATATAAATTGCTTGGTGATGAGGTAATTGTTGTTACGGATATCGATTCTGGGGCGAAAATAATCCTGTCGCAGCCTGCATCCCAACAGCGATGTACTGGTCGATACGGGCTGTATGGACAGTTTCTGTTGGATGGTCGTAGATGTATGGACAGTTTCTGTTGGATGGTCGTAGATGTGAGACTACTCATCATAACTAGCGGACCGCCAGAGTAAAACACGGTTGTTGGATGTGGACAACCTAAATAAGAAGTCATTGATAGTGGACCACCAAAATAAGACGCGATTACTGAGCGTGGACAACAAAAATAAGACGTGAACATAGATAGTGGACCAACAACATATGACGTGATCATAGATAGAGGACCACCAAAATAAGACGCGATTACTGAGCGTGGACAACAAAAATAAGACGTGATCATAGATAGTGGACCACCAACATATGCCGTGAACATAGATAGAGGACCACCAAAATAAGACGCGATTACTAAGCGTGGACAACAAAAATAAGACGTGATCATAGATAGTGGACCACCAACATATGACGTGATCATTGATAGAGGACCACCAAAAATAAGACTCGACGCTTACAAGTAAACCACCAACACACAAAAAACGGCCTTCTAACTCCCCAACATTGATAACACATCTATTTCTAAAACAAGGTCTACAAGTCAATACTTTAAGTGTGGGTTAGAGAACGGGTACAAATTATATCTTTATAATTCCTATCTTTTGCTCTTTGATTTTTTTTTAAACACTCCTTCTGTGGCTACCGACTTCTGTAACTACTAGCTTGTGTAGCGACTGGCATATGTAGCTTCTAGCTTGTGTAGCTACCAGTTTCTGTAGCTACCACAAAGTAAATCTATCTCGCGACCAACCAACCATCGAGCTCTGAGCGAGACCCAGCCTACGAGTGGTTTGACCACTTAATATCTGGCCGACATTTTGCTCCAATTTCACCAGTCTCGTGGGAAATGAATATACAAATCGTCATCCATACATCAATTTTTTTTTTTTACATAAGCTCAAGGCGTCATCAATACATCAACTTTACAAAACATCATTTCTTTACAGAACCTTAAGGCTATTTCCATACATCAACTTTACAAAACATTTTTTTTTAGAAAATCTTAAGGCATTCTTCATAGTTGTACATAACCTCAGGCGCCCTTATATCTTACTAAATACATCAATTATTTTACGAAACAAAGCAACACTTTATCTGAAGGACTTAATAAAAATACACTTTCTTCCCCTTTAATTTGAAAAATTAGATGATGCTTATAGGCAGATTCTAATTAATTAAAAACTTGAAGACGTATATTTTTAAAATATAATAATAATTTTTTAAACTGTTAAATGACCGCCTTTGTATAATGTAGACCTCATTACAAGAAATCAATTCACGCAAGAACTATTTTCCTTAAAATTGATTTTAGGGTGGGAACCAGTAGCGTACGCAGGGGGGGGAGCAGGGGGAGCAGCCGCTCCCCCTGTGACCATTTTCAGCAAAGTGGCGCCTTTTTGGAAACTTTTTAAACTCAAAGTTTTAAACAATGATATTTGTTAAAAAATATTTTTGGTCGGCACATCTATGTAAATCACAAATTTCTTTTCATGCAGCAATTAAGCATTATTGTACTAGTCTAGTAGTGTCTACGTTTACAACACGTATTAACAGCCGCATCAGTTTGCCATTCTAAAAAGTATTCTTACAGTTTGGGCTATAGTGATACGATTACAAATTATATGAAACAGTTACAACCCCTCTCCCCCATGGAGCCCTCTGTAAAAAAAAAATATTGTCATAATACCACTGATACTTATTTAAATCTATTTCTGAATCAGTATACATGTGTAATATATATGTATGTTTAGAACAGTCATTTAAAAAAACTGACGCCACTCTGAGTTGGTTATCCCCCCCCCCCCCCCACACACACACACCTCACCACCACAATTGTGCAGAGCGACATTAATGTCACACCTAGGTATACACTGGGTTGGATAATTGATCTAAAGTGACCGGACAGTAAAAAGGTGTGTGAGCAATACAGTGATCTAACCCATACCTATCACTATGTTAAAAAATGATGTTTAAGGAACACAAGAAGCAGTACTTAATTGAAAAAAAAAATATAACATGAACTAAAAGACAACTATATAATTCAATGTAGGCTATTATTCCGGAGGTATTCTATTATATCGAAAAGCGTGGTTTTATACCAACTCTGATTTTAAAAACTTTCATTATGCTGTAATACTTTAACATTTATGATGACGATATATTAAATTCTGATTATAGAAAAAAATATTTTGTTAACACGAATAGCGTTAAACAATTTCATTATATTCTAAAGTAATTATTTATTTGTTTTGACATTTATTATTAAATGTGTAGATATATACATATTTATATTAAGAGAGTGATTATTTCCCCTATTTCACTTGTCTTAAATAATTTTCCAGGAATTATAATGTAAGAATTTTTTTACAAGAATTACAAAACAGATTGTGTTACGTTCATTGTTTTTGGTTTTAGTGTGTATATTTTGTGTGTTTTTTTGTTTAGATTGATACAATTTTTGTTTTGTCGGCCTACATTGTGTATTTTTTCTTATTTCTTCAGAGTGCTACTTTCAATTTATTTTACATCATAGCGAAGTAATGACATACAGCTAGTAATTATATATATATATATATATATATATATATATATATATATATATATATATATATATATATATATATATATATATATAATACACGTATATAGAGCGTGTTAAAAATTCGGCGCCTTTTTTTGCTCTTTTCGCTCCCCCTACTACGAAAACCTGGATACGCCTCTGGTGGGAACGTTCGATCGTCATTGCATCAAACTTTATTTTATCGTTCATGTGAAAAAATAATCTGTTATGTATCAAAGCAGTGTATTGGCTGTTGTATACTGTCAGTAACAGAGATATGTGTTGACATTATTAACCCACACACAGCAAGAGTTTAAAAACCAAATTGTGGTTAGCCTTTTTAGAATAATTATTTCAACTAATTTTGTCACGTCCCCCCCTCCCCGTCCCCTCAGTGAGTTGTCGGTTCCTGTGTGGTGTGAAACTAGCCCTCACTGACACACACAATCAGTGACGGGTGGTCGACTGACCGGACACTGGGTTCATGTGATGGTTTTTTTTTTTATTTTACTGACCAGAGTTTGGGGTCAAGCCGGGGTCTCAAGCTAGGTTGACAGAATTTACAGGGAGTTTTTTTAAAATGTTAGATTGATATTAACTTATGTTTAAATAGGTGGGTAGGATTACTTTTGTCTTTTAAAGTGTGTTCATTTATGGTTAAATTGTTTAATATTATAATTTTAAAAATAGTTTTGTCATATTACAGTTTTACAAGTAGATCTAAATATAGACATTAATCGCCTTTTTATACCATATCGAAGTTCAATTTCTCATGTGCCAGGATCGGATTAGTTTCAGGGTTGTGGTCAGCAAAATGTGTCAGGTGTAGAGTCAGTGACAGTATTAGAATAACGATTCTTTTTTTTAATCAATTTTCTTTTGAAATAGTAGACACTACATTTGTTTTCCTTAGCCACAGATGACTTAACAAAGACACACAGCGACACAGATAAATTAACAAAGACACACAGCGACACAGAGGACAAGACGAATATGTTTGGGTACCGCTGCCAGCATCTAATGGTGACAGGTGAAACCAACGGCCACACCCAAGTATCAGTTAACAGTGCAGTTAAGTGACATTTGCAGTTAGTTGACATTTACCAAGTCAGACGCATGTTCTTTATTATGGGTTTGATGTTGGGTAATTAGTTTTTACAAAGCTGGACAGGGAGGGGTGGTGTCTCTATGTGCAAGGTTGGTTAACTTTCAACAGTCACGTACACAGTGAGAGTGTGTTATTTTAGTTAACAGGCCAATCAGTTATAGTCTAGTATTTTTTGTGTTTCCTAAGTTGCGTAGGTTTCCATTACTGCGTGTGTGTGTGTGTGTGTGTTCGTGTGTGTGTGTGTGTGTGTGTGTTCCTGTGAATATGTGAGTTTATGTATACAAACAACAATTTTTGCTCATCAAAATGTGTGAGTATTGAAATTAATGTGTGTGTTTATGTTAACACTCCAAAAGAATACAATTATATTGGTGCTTATTTTATTATATTTTAATCAATGATCCTGCTCGCCTTGTCGGTGGGAGATAGATTCATTCAATGATAAACAAAATAAACATTTCTACTGTGTTAACAGAAATAAAGATAAATTAACACTTACAACCTAAAATTCCATAACGTGGAGTCACTAAGTCGTTTCGTTCCCAAGATAAAGATACGTTAAAATTACCCCTTGACACAAATACACTACACAACTTTTCAATGTTCCACTAATTGGGCCACAAATTATTATAACTTTTATAGTATAATTTAATCGCCTCGGTAATGCATGTACATTAAATTTAACAGGGGTGAGGGGGGGGGGTGCGCTAATCATACCTATAACGCGTAATTCCTGAATGGATATCAATTTTCTACAACGTACAATTGGAGTAACAGTTGTGTGTTTATGATTCAGGCAATTCGTAGGTAGTAAATATGTACGTAGGCCTAACTAATATTAGATTTAATTAGACCAAATAGATGTACGCAATCTATAAATACTTGTCCAGAACTTCACGATTTAATTTCCACTTATGACTCAGTCTTATCTCACGGTTCACTTGTGTTTAACGTAAACAAACAATCAGCTGTTGTCAACAAAAGTCCAGCTATTGTTAGTGCTTATGACTCAACTGTTGCTGCCCACCTATTGTGTTCAATGTAAACAATTAACAATTAACAACAATCAAGCAAGACAAATCCAGCTACTGTTTACTATCTTCAGTACAGATTAGATCTAGCCATTTTTAGATTATCTAGATCAAGATCTAATCGTTAGATATCTTGTAGTATCTAAGTATTACGGTATTTTTTACTCACCGAAGCGGTTTCGCCACCTCCACTGAATCAATCCAAAATATCCGATAAGAAATAAAAACAACAAAGTCTCACTTAAATTCCAGCCAGTCTCACTTATTTACTTCACAATCCCAAACAGCTGCACACCGAGTGAAATCAAGGTGAAGGCCTCCCAAACACAACCCGTTATCGTCTGCAACACGACGTCTGCTCAAACCTCGCACAGCCAGACACGCGAAATCTCAACCGTTGATGTGTGTTGTCCGGCCGTGGTCCGAGCCAGCTCACAACAAACGAGGTATTTTTACCCTCAAAACAATCGGTTCCGCGAACTACACACTCGGCGGTCTGAAAAGGGAGAGGCAGGGGCGGGTAACTCCGGACGATAGTCGCGGTAGAGTAGTGGGGGATTTGTGAGACTAAAAATAAAAACACGGCCAGCGCTACCCGATATTGAATTTGTTCTCTCGCTCTCCTCTCGTGGGTGATAGAACACACACGAACACACACGATCGCGCGCACACACGAGTCTGTCAGACGCTGATCAGAACAATTACAAGAAACGATGTCCCAGAATTTGTATCCGTATCTCAACACACTCCCTTCTCGAACACTATGCGAATATTTTTTTTGTTGTTGTTGTAGAAATAATAGTCAAACACGTCTGCTGCAGTGCTGGCGCGGGAGACGGAGTGGAGAGACTGAGGGGGGAATCTCGCATGTAGGACGACGCGCTGCCGCTATCCTCGGCACTCACACACCAAGCAACAGCACTCGCGGCGCGCACGGACGTACGAGAGGAGGAGGAATCGGGTGACGCCTTGCCGGTGGGTCCGAGGCGTGTGCGAGGGACCGTCACTCCGCGGTGCCAACTGGGGCGTTGGGGATTGTCTTCTCCTACCGCGTGTTAAAAAAAAACGGTCAATGCTTTGAAAGGTAATCAATAAAAAAATATAAAAAAATCTTTATAATCCTAAAATAATCCCAAATACCTATACGTAGAGGCGTAGGAGCGGGTTGTTGCAAGTATGCGTGCGTTATTTTTTTTTCCTTTTGTCTACAATATGGCCGGTATTCTTGATATAAATATAAGAGGCCTATATATATATATATATATATATATATATATATATATATATATATATATATATATATATATATATATATATATCAAGAAAAATTTAAACCAATGAATTGTACCGTATTATTAAGTGTAAAGTTTGTTATGAAATGACAGAAAAGTCGGAGTGTATATGTACACTAAACATCTAAAATCCCACCTGTAGCAAATATAAAATAAAAAACCAACGTTACTACCACCCACTCGGGTAATCCGTAAATCTGGTTAATCCAATCATAATCACCTTTTTAATCTAACATTGCGTAAATCGATGCGGCGCGAGTTAATTACCGACGTAATGGCGTAGTAATTCGCGGCTAAGCTGAAACTGTCGAGGTTTTGTCGAGGTTTTGTCGAGGTTTTGTCGAGGTTTAGGGTTACCAGTTAGGATTAGCGCCCGACGTGTGTCGTCGCCCTAGTGGCGGTAACCCTAGACGCTATCAAACACAAAATGTGGGAAATTAAATTCAAGTGGAACAAAAGGCGCCGCACTGACACGTGTACGGATTCATTGAGGACACAATTAGGAGGGGATGGGGATAGATCCTCGCATTGAGACAATATGTTTAAGAAATGTCACACTGAATGCTATATTGTGTGTAATATTTAGAGAATATAATGATTGATCCACTGTTAAGTTAATGTATAAATTTAGTGGTGATGTTTGGGGCTGGGCGTTCTTCTATTTAGTGGTGATTATATATTAAAGTAAAGAACCCTCTTTAGACCTTGCGATCTTTTGGGCTCATATGTTTCTTGACCCCGGCATATGAGAGGAAGGTGTGGTCAGCACTATGTCCAGCCGCCTTTACTTTCCCTAACATGAGTTAGGTACCCATCAGAGGTGGGTGGACTCAGGGACGTTCAACTGACGTGAACCATGATTCGAACTTTCGAACTCGAGACTTTCGGGTTAGCAGACCAGCGCGAGTGGTGATATATATGGGTTTATAATTATATTTATTGAGGGGGCTCTGAGGTGGGAGGGGAATCATTTCTGTATTGTTACTTTTTGTTCCTTTTTTTGTAAAATAATGTATTTTAAATTAAGAGCCGTTTATGTAATTCACCAATGGTTTAGTAGGCTTTATATATATATACTAGGCATGCTGCCCAGCTTTGCTTAGGCTTTCGAAGACATTGAGAATTTGAATGCTTAATTAATTCGCCCGAGGGTCGGTCTACGACCTCAGGAGTTATGAAGAGGTTCCTCCGTGGACATTTTTTTTTTATTTATAGCTCATATAAGGCGCCGGTCAGTCGAGGTCAGTTTTGACCCCATCATCGTAGACTTTTCGGTCAACCGGCCCCCGTGTTCAGTCGCCCCAAGGCAAGATCCTGCCAAATTTGAAGCGCCTGCGGCGCCGGGAAGTGCCCTATCGGGCACCCGACAACTTTGCTTTATATATTATAGATAAACAAAGATTTCAATAAAGTAATTAAGGCCTGAAATACTTTAGTATAGAAATGAATTATTTGAATAGATGAATCTAGAATATATAGATCTAGAATCCAAATAAATAAAATAAATTTTATGAGTTTAGGCCGGAAAAATTGTATTGTATACATTTCATAGTGTACGTAGATCTAAATCAAATTTGAATGAAATAGTTCATTTCTTTTTATTCAAACACGGCAGATGACGTCATTAGTTAATGTATAAGCAATAGTGACGTCACAGTTTTATGCGTTCTTTTCACATCTATTAATGCTTTTCCGGTTGCATAAATAATACTGTTTCTCTACATTCGAATACGCCTTTAATTTTTATTTTTCTTCTTTAAATAAAATTGTGGTTATACATTTAAAACATCTAACATATTATTTTCAACAAAAGTCCGTAAAAAGTTCTCGATATATCGCTGCCGATTCTGACGTGATGTCCGGCGCAAATTTTTTGCGGACAGAGAAAGAGAGAGAGAGAGAGAGATGTGCGAACGTGGGGATTTATATATTAGGATATATATATATATATATATATATATATATATATATATATATATATATATATATATATATATATATATATATATATATATATATATATATATATATATGCGCTAATACAGGGAGATGTCAAGCTGGATGACGTTGATCCGGTCTGAGCCGGCAGCCGGTTCCGGTGCTTTTAAAAAGATCGGATGGCCGATCCATCACACAGCACCCGTACAGCACCACCTGACGCCCCAGCACCGCCCCGGCTATCTGGTTGACATCCGTACGGATTAGGTTCAGCGCGGAGGAATAGAAACCACCCATGCGATACGGCTGACCCCGGGTCGTGTTTAACTTGTTGGAGGAAGAAATATCTAGGGTTCGGGTTTGACAGGGTTCTACCTGATTCTCATTACTTGTTGCTTAAAGTTATACGGCTTGTCCATTATATGCTATTTAATATTATACGGCATGTTCATAATATGGCATTTAAATTTATACACGATGTCAATTATATGACATTTAAAATATCTTGCCATGTCCATTGTGCTATTTAAAATCATACGCCAAATTCATAATATGATATGTAAAATATATTTTTTGTCTATTTTCTGCTCTTTAAAACATTACAACATGCCAATCATCTACCTTGTGTAGGTCCAAGTTATTTTTACTCCTTGTTGGTAATTAGCTTGAATTAAAAGTGTGTTCGTTAAATTGCTAAAATACATACAGGCATGTGTATATTTTGTTTTAAAGAATTATAGGTTCAATTTTTAGAAAAATAATTGTTGATGAATAATAATTTTTAAAAATGAGTTTGTAAAGATTGTAAAAAAGTCCCTACTTATTTTTTTCCAATTAAATTTTACCTTAAAATCAAGTTGAAAATTGTAAAACTGTCAATTATAAAATCACCCAACGAAACCGTCCCGACATCTTTAACCCATAACCAATGCTCATAAAGAGGATAAAAGTACTAAACATAAACTCCAAATCTTACATTGATCTCAACAGCTTTAACTCATAACCAATGCTCATAAAGCATATACCAGCACTAAACCTAAACTCTAAACCTGACATAAATCTCAGTCGTTCCCCCGTCACGGTTCACCTGTCGTCACCTCCAGACAGGTACGACAAGGTAGACTGGACGTGCACCCACGCGCGGTGCCAGACCAGGTGAGTCAGCAGAAGGTGCCCCGCGCCAGGATCAGGGTCACGTGTTCAGTCAGGCGAAACGAACGCTTGTTTTTACTGGGGCTACCCCGGCCCTCGCCTGCAATTATTGTACCCTGTAAGTACCGGAAATGTACATGTCGCCACGTCTAGGCATGCGTGTAATGACGGCAAAATTACGTTTCTGCCTCGTCGATACTTTTCCCATTAAAAAAAAGTACTTTGGTTAAAAACTTTTTAAGTACCTCGGGAGATTGAAGATGAGTTTTTTAATTAGAAATTTTAAGTACATAAATTTACGTCAGGGAAAACGTGCAACCTACTTCGTGAGTGAATTTTATCTTTTGGTGGTGTATCTACACACATACACACAAACACGCATGCACATACACATACACGAACACACACACACTACCAACATCACACACACACGCATTCACATACAAACAAACACACACATACATACACCACCAACATCACACTACACGCTTAAGGTGAAAGACTAAAGTTCAGATGCTAATCCCCCGTCTGCTTGAGCACCGAGTGTTGAAACACGGCAAGGGTCGTTAACTCTGGTCGGAGGGGGAGGGAATCAAGCCGACCGGACCGATTGTTGCTAATGAATCTATCTTCACGGATCTGGGCGGCCTGAAGCTGCGACACCGTGAAGGCTTAGGCCGGGTAGTTTAACTCACATTAGGAGCCGCTGCTATAGACTTAATCTACCCAGGGGGAGGGGGGGGGGGACGGTGGCTGCTATAGGCTAAATCTACCCGGGGGTGTAGGGGAGATACCGAGCGATACAATAGAGTATAGACCCAGCGACTCAAAGTGTGGGTGGGGATATTGAGGCTTGTGGCCCCCACTAGTGATAAAACATTGTATATTCGCTAGGTTAATGCTGGCCCACACACAATTTAGTAAGCCACCTAACAGGAAGTTTCTTGAAGACCTGAAGACAGCAGGGATGTCTTGGAAGACTGCAAAACTAACAGCCGGGACCGGACAAAATGGAAGGTTATGGTTGAGGCTCTATGCTCCACAAGGGATAAAAAAGTAAGTCAACTGAAACGTATTGTTAAGGTAGAATGTTTAGTCGGAAGTGAAGAGATAACTGTTGCAATAAGCTCTGCTGACAGAAGAAATCATCGTTTGATACCTGTATATATGTCGTCTGAGAAACACAAGCAGAGCAAAGGTAGCGGTCAGTTGTTGACTTCATACGTGTCTAGAGTAGAGCAAAGGTAGCGGTCAGTTGTTGACTTCATGCATGTCTAGAGTAGAGCAAAGGTAGCGGTCAGTTGTTGACTTTATGTATGTCTAGAGTAGAGCAAAGGTAACTGTCAGTTGTTGACTTCATACATGTCTAGATTGGAGCTAAGTTAATTACCACACATCAAAAATCAAGGGCCAACATTTACTTAGCACTTCAAGACTCCTCCCTACAAAAACACAACTCAACC